ACATATTCTCCATATCGACGAAATTCTTTTGTATAGCGCGATAGTAGGTGCCAAACCAATTGAGCGGCATATACAGATCCATGAGGTAGGTGAAGAAGAGTACGAAGTCACCGACGGTAAGCGTCTGATGATGTGCGACTAAATAGACACACAGCATTGAGCCGCAGAGCAAGCCGAGACAGAGTATAATATTTTGAGAGGTGTTTAGTAAGTTGAGTGTTAACATGGAGAGGAATTCCTCTTTCTGTGTGAAAAAAAAAAAAATTAGAAAGATTAATGAATTGTTTTGCTAAATTTCTTGCATATGCATGTACCTGATATTTTACAATTGCCTGGCGGTATTCCTCAACCTCATACTGTTCAGCGCCGTAATATTTTACAGTTTCGAAATTTAATAGCGAATCAACACTGCGTGCGCGCTGTGCATTATCGGCTAAATTCATGCGACGCTGATACTGAGTACGCCATTCGGTAACCAAAATTGTGGCCACTGCAAGTAATAAATTTCATAGTTTTTAGGTTATAATAAATATTGATTTTTTCATTATGCTTACAAATATATAAAAACATTGTGAGAAACACAATCAGTCCAAACCACCAATTGAAAGCGTAGATAAAGAAAATAACAGCTACTAGCAAATCGATAATAGTAGGCGTAATCGAAAAGATAATGTAATTTAATAAATTATTGATCGAGTCTGTGCCGCGATCCATAACACGTAAAACTTCGCCAGTTTTGCGTTGCAGATGCCAACGCAGTGAGAGTTGATGCAAATGACTAAATAAATCCACTTCGATTTCCCTCGTTGTATATTGTTGCACGCGTATCCACAGGAAAGAGCGTAAATTATTGAAAAGTCCCATAGTGCCAGTGCCACCGCCTTGTACAAAAGATAATCCAACATAAATAAGTACGAAATCCCAACGGAAGAGTATAGGTGGTATGGTGAGGCTATCCACTGAAATCAAGAAATATGTTAAACAATTGAATTCTACAAGATAAGATTATATATGACTTACCTAGCTTTTTGCGATAGATTGGCAAAAATAGCTTAATAACGCGTCCAGCAATAAGCAATAGTACACAAGCACAGACAGTTAATTGCAAGACTATGTCTTTTTTAGGCCACATATAGGGGAATAGTTTACCCAATTTCTTAAAAGCATTACGAAAAGCGGAACCCTGCTGTGCATTATTGTTGCTCTCATTGGATGGTTCATCGAGTTGCACATATGGCCGCATAATACCAGGTGCTTTAAGACCCAATATGAAAATCAATAGTGAAGTTATAAAGCGCGTAACGAACAAAGCCATTTCCACTTGATCTTTGTTGCTGTAAAAATAAAATAAACAAGAATAAACATTAACACCGGCTGCACCGAACCTATAATACCCTTCATAAGTGCATTTTTTTATAGTATAAGAGGTTATAAAAAATCTTTATCTTAAATTTGATCGGTCTGTTACTATGGTAGCTATATGATATAGTTGTACGATCTGAACAATATGTTCACAGATTGTACCGAATAATTTGTGATAAATTTCGTAAGAATATCTTGTCAAATTAAAATGTTTTCCATACAATGATTTGAGTTTCGACAAATAAGCAGCTTTTCGGTGAGAATGGTTAAAAAGGCCCAGCTCGTCACGCTGATCATTTCTATATACATTTTATGGGGTCCCCGACGTTTCCTTTTGGGAACTTAATACACCCTGTTTAGGGTATTCAAATTAATTAAAGTGTAATTAAGTAAACGGGAAGCTACAAGTGATTTTAGTTAAAATTTAGCATATACATATGTATATGCAAAGGTCGAGATGGTGGCATGCTATACTAATTTAGTTTTGTAGATATTACAATTTAGTGCAAACTTTATATGACAATCCTTAATACATAGTCAATAGAAATTATTATTTATTTTCAGTACTAACGTTTTAAGTGAGAACCACCAATCTTCATGTCGCAGATTTATGAACGCCAACGATTCATTAATAAAACCCAAAGTCCAAAACAGTAATAAAATGAGACCATGGCCTCGCGTCGGTAGTGATGGCAGCTGATAGAAGCGTTCCTTTAAAATAACACAAACTGAGAAAGGATATGATATGCAAATAAGTACAGTTGAGAGTATCTGAAAAAATAGCGAAAATTATGTATATTATATAAAACTTATTTATAAACAAAACTCACCATATACCCATAAACTGCATGATCATTGTAGACGCGTGCATTTAAGAAGAATCTTACTAACGCCAATATAGGAAAGAAGAATAATAGGAAGAGCTGTAAAGCGTATAAGCGCGATTTAGTGATATGCGTCGGGTCATTGCGTGTGGCATATTTGCGATACATTAGTAGTTGTACTGTGCCCATGAGCAGCATAAAACCACTTGCCACCCCATTGCCAATTGTGTCCATAAAACAATGTGATATGCCATTGTTTATCCAAATTTGCGAAAATGTTACATTCGGCGGACAGTAGATCATTTTGTTTTTTGTTAAAGTTGTTTTACTATGATGCTGAAAGTATATGTGAAAATATTACAATAGGGTGTTTTCTTTATGAACTTCAGAAAGTGTAGAAATATCATAAATAAATTAGTAAACATACATACATTGTAAATGTTGGTGCAATGTGTATTTAGATTTAAATACTTGTATGTGTGTAGATATAAGAGTCGCTGAGCGTTTTGACGGGCGTCAAATTGATAAGAAAAAAATGAACAGTTAAATGTGATTTGACTGAATCATTGCAAAAGCAACAAAGCCTAAATTACAACATAATTACATTTACAAGAAATAAATAATTAGGAAAATTGATTGGCTTTAGGTGGGCGTTAAGCCAGATGACTCCTTGATTTGTAACCACTTAAGATATCTAAAGTTTCTGAATGCACGCAAACTATATTTTCAATATATAAATTACATGATGTAATAACTGCTTATCAGATATCTTACATGAAATATATATTTTAGAGATAGTTCCATGTTTTAATCATGAAAGTTTACAAATTTGCAGGCGACAGCGAATATGAAATTCGAATATACAGCTATATATGCATTTTTTTCTTTCCTGAAATCTCCATTTGCATTTGCATTAGCAAATCTCACGCGTGCCTAGACAATTCATAATAGAAAGAGCAAACAAACAATCAATTGTTGGATTTTATTTTCTTCGAAAATTGATGTGATACAAAAACAATACCAATAAAATTTTGTTGTAAAATGTCAATACATATGCATTTTTAGTTAGTCTTCCTACAATATTTGCAAAACTTTTTTAATTTTCTCTTTACGTGGTTCTTTAATTTCAATAATATTTCATAAGGAAGTAACACAAATACACACTTACTTCCAAGTGGATTATTTCCTATTTGTTCCAAGCTGGACAGGTTATCACTTCTGATTTTGTGCACCCTCCGTTTTTAATTTAAATCATTTTCGTACCTTTAAACACACTGTAAAATATGTTTAATAAATTCGTAGTGCGCTAATTTTAATTATGCAATTTTTGTATTTACGCACTTTAAATTTTCTTTTTCGGAATGACTTTCAAATTTCTGTGCCGGGGTTAATTTGTACCGATTAGTACTACACTGATTTTATGTATTATATTAACCTTGTTACACTTATAGTGTATAAGGTTACACACACTTTTTGTTTAATATTGTGAATAATTTTGTAATAAGATGCGTTGAAAATTCTGCGTAAACAATATCTTGACTGTATTAATTAAAGACAAAAATTTCTTTTCAATTTTCATTGCCTGCACAGCTGACAGCAGCCAATTGTCAAACTTTACAATTAGAGATGTGTAATCGTCATTGCAGAGACTTAAATCGGTAAAGAAATTAGGAGCTCCATATACACTAAAATTTACTAAATAAGCTAGGGTATTACAGTATAAAACAATATATAATTTTTTATAACGAAATCATGAAGTTTTTCTATAGTTTTTCACATATTTCGCAAGTTTTTTGCTCGATTACGTATTTATCGCCTACTTAGCACCCTGTGAATTTTGCTTTTTGCCAATGTAAGTTACCCTATGCAATCGGAGCATATGCAAAACTAACGGAACAGGAAACCATTTTCTTTTGTGTCGTGGTTGTTCCTCTCCGGTGAAGCCAAATTTCATTATTTGAATATTGTTTATGTGCAATTAATAATAGTTTAGCAAATTTTAAATAAAAATGTATGTGAAGTTATGAGTTGCAATAAGCTTTTGTGTATTTAAATCATCGCCTGAGCTCTATTTTTGTGTGTTAGAAGAAAATGGTAATAAAAGGAAAATGTATGTGTGCAAAATCTATATGTGTTACAAAATTGTAAAGTATAAAAAGCAAACCCCATTTTCCAAGTGTATAATGAGGGTTTTTTATTGGTAAAGTTCTGCAATGTGGTTTTATGTATATAAAGCAAATTTACCTAACATTCAGCGGCGACTAAATTGCAGCATCATGTAAGTATTTTAATATTACGTTTAACAAGTTAACATCATAAATAATATAAAATAAACTTTGATGCATATGATTATGTTAGATATGTATAAATTGTCAATAGCCAGGACTCGCAAAATTGTAAGCATTATAGTTTGAAGCACCACACTCAAAGCACAAAGTAAATTAGTATATTTTATAACTTATTACCTCAACAATTGTCTTTTATATACTCTATTGTTGTGGTACTATATGTTTTGTTGCTAAGTTTTATTCTTAGTTTGTGCTACAAATTTTATTGCTAAGAAGGAGGATGCAAAATTGGGTTTATAGTCATTAGATCCCTAACAGTGCTTGTCTATCATGCTAATCCAGCACTGAAGCTTATATTAAAAGATATTTGCAATTATTATTGTTCCAAAATATATTTTCAGCAGAGCTGACTTAATTCGCAAAAATGTTTTTGGGTTTTAACGTTGTTGCAAAATAGGTAAATAAAGTGCATAAGGTAGTTAGCTGCATGTGATGAAATAGTAAACCAAAAAAAGACGAATTTGATAATAATTAATCAATTTGAGATTGAAATATTTATTTTGATTCTTTATTTATTAAACTACACTTTTTTACAATATTTAAAATATATTTACATATATGCGTATATACATAAATATGTATTTCTAGATATACTAATCAATAATTAAGTAAAAAAATAAATACAACTTAAAATTTAAATATATTTTCAAGATATTACTACAATTATTTGTTAAAGTTTTTGAGAACAGCCACTGGATAAATATAATTTTAAAAAATACACTTGAAATCTTCACATACTTTATATTTTAGTATACTAAAAAAGAACTTAACTTACATACTATTTGTGATGGTCGAGAATATAATGTACTTGTATTTGTATTTAAAACATTATATTTTTATTAGATTTTAAGTATGTCGTTGACATATCACATAACACTACGCAACAGCAATTTGCAAACATATGAAATGTTAAATTATTTATAAATAGCTTTTTTTACGCGCGAATATAATATTGTTTTTTGTAATAGTACTGAGTACAAGAATTTCCGTAATATTATTTTAAATGTGCATATATTTTTAATTACCACGAGAGTCACACAATAAGTTAAATTCAAGCAACCTTATACATATATACAATGGTTTAGTAAATTTCATTTATTCTTGAGAAATTCGTGATCACATATCTACATACTTGTAAACCTGACAACGGTTTCAAAGTGTTGCCATTGTGGTTGTGTTTTTTGCAGTAATTAAACATACATACATATGCACATGTAGGCGTCCACTTAGTGAACATGAGTTACACCACAATTGCATATTTGCCCTGCAGTAGTGAAATCCGTTTCTAAAATAATGATTTATACCAAATTATGAATTGATCTTTCCCAATAACGGCTGCGCCAAACGCCCTACAGTAGTTGTCGTCACAGTTACAGCATTACCCACCACACCTGCACCCGTATTCACTGCGTCTGCAGCACTTACGCCCAAGTGATTATCCATAGACGGCACAGCTTTGCTATTAAGTTGCAAATTCTTTACATTATTTGACTTTACAATATTATTACAGCTATCATTGTTGCTTTTGCATACACTATCACATCCATTTTTAGTGATTACAACACTATTTACATTTTCGCTTTCAAACAAGTGTGCTTTACTACTATTCAGATAGTGATTTAATGGCATGTCAGTATCGTTTTCGTCTTCGTCAACGCCATCGTTCACAACACTACAATGCTTATATTTATTTGATTCATTATATGAGTCATTATATGATTCAACGTCTGATGGACGTCGAGGTAAAAGTTGTGCTAAAGTATTTGGTTCTGATCTGCCATTTAGACCGTTATCTTTAATGTCTACTTGGAATTTGATGCGTTGACCACCTTGTAAGCTGTCATTGTCGGAACGTTCATTTGATACCAATGTGGAAATGGTAGGTGATGGCTTCAGGCGTACGCGTGCCAACGGTGTTGCTGTGGGATGTAGAATGCCGCTTAAATTGGAATTCGAATTAGATTGCAATAGATGTGTAGAGCTGTTGCGTTGGTTATATGCTAAATTGTTATTGTGATTTTTCAATGCACCAGATAACGGTAATCGTAGATTGGCCAACTCGTTGTTGTTGTCTTTACGTGGCTCACGTAATGAACGGCAGCTATAAATGTCACCATTTAGCCCATTAGTTGCTTTAGCCACATTCCCTATGTGCTCTTTGTCATATTGTTTGACAGTATCTAGATAGTAATTGAAGTCTTCAGGTTTAAATTCGTTGCCATTCAGTTTTGGTGATGATGACGAGATTTTGCGCTTAGCACGCAAAGTGGGCGTTCTCCTTACGCTGCTATTGGGTTCAGCTATTGTCGCTGGCGTTAGCTGTTCATCCTCTGAGATCTCGGAATGTTGCTTTTGCAACATAACACTATAACGTTGCGGCGGATGTTTGAGTGAGGAACGTCGTCCGTGCAGCAACTGTTGTCCCGGTATTGAAGGTGACTCTGGTTTTGGTACTTCACCCTCCAACCAATATGTGAGCATTTCACCTTTACCCTTCATAGGTACATAACCACGTTGTGTGGTAATGAATGTGCCGAACTCATCTAATGCCAATTTGGTATTCTCACTAATGTGTATACGTAGCGCTTCGCCATTCGATTCCATGCGTGACGCCGTATTCACCGTATCACCAAAGAGACAATAGCGCGGCATCTTTAAACCCACAACGCCAGCTACGCAAGCGCCCGTGTGCAAGCCAATACGTAGCTTAAGTTGATCTTGCGGACGATGATGTATTCTAAATTTATGCACGGCGCCAAGTAGCGCTAATGCTAAACGTGCAATTTCACGAGCATGCTGATTGCCATTACGTATGGGCAGACCGGAGACAACCATATACGCATCGCCTATCGTTTCCACTTTGTAGACATCGAAATTTTCCACAATGGAATCGAAACAGGTGTAGAGATCGTTGAGAAATTGCACCACCTGCAGGGGTGTACTCTCAGCTGAGATGGCGGTGAAACCAACAATATCACTGAAGTAGATAGTGACTTGATCGAAGGTTTCGGCCACCACCGGTTGTCCGCTGATAAGCTGCGCTGCAACGCTCTGCGGCAAAAGCTGATACAACAGCTTCTCGCATTTCTTCTTCTCCTCAATGTAGTCTTGTGTACGCTCTTCGACAAGCTCCTCTAGATTATTGGCATACAGTTCCATGCGTTTAAGCAGGTTGTCTACAATGTTTCCGGTCTCGTTGTCTCTGTGTGAAGAAAATTTATACATTGAATTAAAGTATTCGACCTTTGTGTTAAGTGAGCACATACTTATTGATTCGACGTATAATTGATTTGAGTGCATTGAAGTCGGGACGATCAAGCGGATCCTCAGCCCAGCACTTGATCATGAGGTTGTTAATATCAAGGTATCCGTCATGTTCATCGATGTACGGACGAAATGGTGAAGATATATTTTCCGGATAACTTCTGACTAGTTGAATAATTTCTAAAAAAAGAGAAAGAAATATAATATATTGTAATATGATTGATTAAGATGCATTCATGAATACTTCCAAGCTCAGAAGATCTCGCTATGTATTTTGAATCTTTTGTGATTGAAAGTTATTATTGAAAGCGCTCCGGATTTATTTTTTTTAGCGTTTAGGTTAGGGTTAGGTTCAATGGCTGCTTCTCTAGATGCGAATCACACTTGTACTGTTGCATACAGTACTTTGTGAAGCCAGAAAAAGAACTTCTGTAATCAGGTCTTACCATATAAATCGACAAAGCGCCTTGAGGCCAATACAAATCTGCTAAGGCGTGTTATCGCTATTCCCACCAACTCACTGGGAAATCTGAAAGTGTGACCTCCGAAGCCTTGATCCCGTAGAGGTGAGACAATTAAGAAGGAAGTGTTGAGATGGTCTACTTCGTCTTCCTCCAAACAGCTTCTCTAACTTGCAATCTTACCGCGTGGAGACCGATAGGATATTGACCAGTTAGAAACTCTACCAGGAGTGAAGTTGTGCTCCGTAAATCATTGCACTAGTTCGGATTTAATTTAATAAACTTGAACTTGAGAACGAGGTTCTTATGGTTCGAATATTTAAGTTCATCTCGTGCGCTTGCTAAAGGTTAAGATATTGTATGGATTTTTCGAACCTAATGTATTTTCTATTTTCGTACACGCATTCTTTATCAAATTTTTTGACATATTTAATTTGAAATATTTAAAAAAAAAATGAATTAAAATTTTTATTACATACATATATATTAAAATATATTCTAAAATCGTGAGAGCTAACAACTCGGTTAAACTACGGAAATAAAAACAAAGAAAATGGTATCTTGTCTCTGTGAAATATACAACAATTGAAAGCGTCCCAAACACTACCAGCTCAATTCTAAAAAAGGCGAATACTCATTTGTTGTTAAAAAACGCTAAGCAAAAAAATTGCGAGAAGTTGTAGATGACATGTCAAAATGTAAATTGGAAAAGTGTAGCACTTCCTGCCAAATTGACGACAACGAACCACTGCTAACTACTAATAATTGTGCGAGTACGATTAAGCTTACAAATAAAAACGATGCAGGCAACGCTGCCACAGCTGAAAGTAGCTCATCCGTCCTGGAGCAAACAGTACAGTCCCAAGGACTCAAGAGATCAGTAGTTATACCAAAACCCAGAGTGTTAAATATTTGTTCACTTAATTCCGACACAAAAGAGTTTGAAATACCCACAGGCTCAAAATACACGTCACAAACAACAGTGGTACCAACTCAAAGCTGTCGCGTAGGTTTTAATAAACCCAAGCATTCTAGTCCACAATTTCTATATGAACAATATCCACTTAAGCCGGCACTCCTGTACGATAGCCCGTTGAGTTTCGTGCGCGATCCACTAAATCGTTTAGATCAATTAGATTACTTGCAACAGAGCTCATTGCATTCCATCACTTCGGTTTTGCCCACCTGTCAATGTGCCTTTGGGCATACGCAATATAATCTGCCCGAGTATGCTTCAAATACACAAAATTTCCGTCTAATAAGTGGCGAGGATGAATGCAGATATAATGAAATAGCTAACGCCGCGTGGAAGACAAGAGAGGCCTTTGCATTGACTAACGATACATCTTTGGAAAGTGTTTGTTCGACATGTCATCGTAAAGCATTCATAGTATCGCCTTCCACAACAAATGAGCTTTTAGAGTCGAGTAGGACGCGAGAAATAGACGATGCGGCAACGCTATCGGAAGCGTATAAAACTGCACCGCAGAGCATAGCCGATAGTTTAGTTTGCGATAGTGAAAAACATTTCGAGAAAAAAGAATCATTTTTGTTTTATAACCCATGTTACCATTATGAGGAAGAAAATACAGTAGAGCCACCACTTGAACCACGTTTTACCACTGATAATTGTAAGTGCTCGTAAAGCAGATACACATAACTTTATTAACTTAAAGATCTTCATCTCGTCGTTAGCTCAGCGGGCTATATCCCTCGATTCGCACGAACCGAATCGCTTTGATTCGGTGCCAATATTCGAAGTGTTGCCCACAAATAATATCGAGGACTATTCTCGTCAACCGGCGTTAAAGCATATAGACTCTCTGTTGCTTTACGCGAGATTCAAGACAAAACGATGGAAAACAACTTTGGAGATTGGCGAAGGAAAACCTTTGCGGTTTATTACATTTTACGATGAGGGTACGTTCGGGCAAATTTACCTACATACATCCATTTATTTATGCTAACCCCTCAACTTTAGCACAACTTGTTAATAAGTCATCGGATGTGGACGTTATTTTTGGTAGTGCTCGAGGATTAAATTATAAACTTCAATGTTGGGACGATTCTCGTATCGCTTGGTTGGCTGAGCTCGAACGTCGTCACGAGGTATATCGCCGACGTCAAAAACGTGCCCAGCTACGTAAATTGAAACAACAAGCCGCCCAAAGTCGCTTAGGGCAGTGCTCGTTTTGGTGTCACCGACTACGCTCCTGGTTTGCTAAATGGAATAGGTAATTGAAACGATTCTTTAGCCCAAATAAGCAGGCTTTCAAATTTTTAACTCATTTCGAAAAAAAAGATGTATTGTTCGTATTAAATTGAGAATTTGAGTTGTAGTTGTTGCAAAATGTAAATAAAGCATTTTTGATTCTCACGTACAGCCTGTCCTTATTTTCTTTATCTGGAGCCGCAGGTATTTCTATTTTGTAAGGGGATAGCTTTAGTTGAAATATTTTAAACGCTATTACTAGCCTAGTGCTTATCTTATGTGTTTACATAAGAGAACATATGAGATTTCTAAAATTTCTTTTTAGAGTCATTAGCATCTGTCAACTGTTTCCATGCCGTTCACAGCTCTAAGTGAGTTGAATTTGGAGTTAAAAATTATTCTCCTTATTCCTTTTGAGAAAAAAAATTTAGTGATTTCGAACACTATCAAAATACTGTGCTAAACAATCTTTTGTTTACATATAAAAAAATATATCGATTCACACGATATTATAGATTTTTGTGGTGAAATTTTTTATTGTCAATATATTTAGAATTCTTTTTCGTTAATACAAAATGGAATAAATTAAATGTTTAATAAAAATTTCGAATTTCGAAACCTAAGAAATAAAGTAGTGTCGCTAAACCCCACAATCTTTTCAATTGACGCAACATATACGGATCCCAAATTCGATAATGTCGCAGCAACAGCTAGCGGCATCAAGTGATATAAGTGGGAAAGCAAAGGAGGAGAAATCCATTCCTCAGACCTCGAAATTTACGTCCGCAAATTCGCAATATACATTCTACCAATCGCATTTATCTCAACCACCAACAGACTATATGTTTCTCGACGACAATCCAACGTTAAAAACTACACAAAAACTGCAAACTGCAACAAAAGTAGAGCAGAAATCAAGAACAAATATTAATTTACAAAAGATGCCTAACAAGCAACGTCTTGAGAGTGGTGCTTCCCGCAGAGATTCCTACGACTTAAGTGAAGACAATCCAGTATTGTCTGTAAAGAGTAAACTGATGGAAGAGTGGGAAGTATGCCAAACGCAAGAAAAAGATTCCAATGAGTCAGTAAGAGGTTCAATTGAGCAGATTGAGCCGTTAAGCCCCCGACGATGCTCGCTAGAAGGTAAGCATTTACATATGTATGTGCTGACGTGTATAATTAAATACTTTAAAGGTAAATTTATACCCCAGACAAACCATATGCCGTCGAGTAAAATAAAGCCAACTATCGTTGAACGCGGTTATTTGTTTTGGCAACTACAAAAAACCGGTGACGAAGTCGATCATTTAGAAACTATTATGCAACGGACGGTGGAACAAAAACAGTTAGAAGCGGGATCGGAAAATATATCTCTGGAACGTAATGTTTGAATCCACAAATGTACTGCCAGAACATAAAAAAGTAAAAACGGACCTGTTTAATTAAAAAAGAAAATTGAAAAAGAAAAGTATATTCCAGAAGGGTGTTCCAGAGTTGACATTTAATGGAATAGATACAATTTCTAATGAAATAAGTATTAAAAGGTAATATATTTGAAAATACAGTTTTGTTTTTTAGTTATAACGACGAGATCGAATCTAAGAACAGCAAAGAAAAGGAAAAAGTACCATCATATATCTCATAATAAAACCATACATCCTAATAGCTTGTGAGTTTAGCAGACAAAGGCATTTGGTCCAAGTTTTTATGTCTCAAAAAAGCACAAGTAGTTTTTAATTCTTTTACCGGTATACCCGACACAGAAAAAATATAATCCACTGTCAAGTGTTTTGAGCTATGAGTAAATATTATTTTCAACCTTACCTTTAGGTGATTTTTCTGTTTCAGTCGTGCCCAGATAAAATGGACCTTGCCTTGTACTGATTTCATGTACAATTATGCCAAAGGAATAAACGTCACCCTTTTGTGTACCCTCAGGTGGACGATTATTGCCAATTTTCAATAATTCAGGCGCTGTCCAAAATAGTTCTGTAAGAGAGTGAAATGAAATTGATTAATATTTTACAATATTTGAAAATTATATGAAGCAAAGGGGGAAAGAGCTAAAATCGGACAGAACTCATATTTATACCCTGAACAGGATATATTAAGTTTGCCGCGAAGTTTGTAACACCCAGAAGGAAACGTCCGAGATCCCATAAAGTATATATTAATGATCAGCGTGACGAGTTGAGTCGATTAAGCCATGTCCGTCTGTCTATCTGCATGTATACGAACTAGTGCTTCAGTTTTTGCGATATCGATTTGAAATTTTAAACCCGTCCTTTTCTCACCAAGAACCTGCTCATTTGTCGGAACGGCCTATACTATTTCATATAGCTGACAAACTGAACGATCAAGTGCTTGTATGAAAAACTTTTTCGTTTGACGAGATATCTTCATCAAATTAAACATGGGTTATTGTCTAAGGTAACGGTGCGATTTCCGCAGAAATTTTTTATAATCGAGTCACTATAACATATAGCTGTCATACAAACTGACCGATCTAAGTTCTTGCAATATCTATATGATATATTTGTGATATAACAATGCTTTATGATTTTAATAGTCTTCGAACATTTTAAGAATTTTTTATAAAAATCTCTACCATTGCAGGAACCTACTTAGAGTTTTCGATTTAGTAAAATTCAAATCTATGAAGTGATTTACTTACTACTCCAATACGCATGACTATTGCAGTCTTCCACATCATTTTCCACTGCTTCTGGTCGTTCCCGCTTTAGCGTATGCAAACCAAAATCGGTTATTTTTAAAACGAACCTCGAATCCACCACACAATTGGATGACTTCAAATTGCCATGCGAGCGTATAACCGAGTTGTGCAAAAAATGCATGCCGCGCACAATATCATGCATCAACGATAATTTAATCATCCAGTCCAGCTGGAATTGTTCATTCTCCAGTATGTCCTGCAGTGAGCCCTTCGGACAGTATTCGGTGAGTAGGAAACGCTTCGGCGGATCCAAGCACGCGCCATAGAATTTTACCAAATGGTCATGCTGTAGATCCTTCATACTTTTTAGTTCCAACATTAGCGAACGTGTCAAATTGATTTGTCGATTTTCGATAGCCTTAATGGCCACTTCACAACCACGATACATACCGACTGGTATAAAGATTTGACGATCACCGCACAGCGAACGCAAATCATCGGACATTAGTGTCAATTGCGAGCTATGCCGCACAAGTGAGTGGAAAGAGCCGCGTATACCGCGACCTCCCAAATCCGGACAAACTAAATCACTAAGTGAAATCTTCCATGTCATAGAATTTATTTCCGCTTCTGATTTGTAATGTCGATAGCCGAAAAAGAAACCGACGGTCATCAGCACAACTACGACGCCGAGTATGATCGAAAGTATGGCATAACCGGGTAGAGCTGCAGAGACAAAAATGTGAAAAATATTATCGGTAAACTGATCACAATTATAAATGAAGTAAACTTACAATTATCTGGACATAGTGAGCCATCGTAACCACAAATCGGCGTACTAGGTGGCGGTTCTTTGCGACCCCCGGCCCAATGTATCTCCTTACCCGGCACAAAGTCTAAGCGGTTGTGGATGAAATCAGCAACAATTTCAAAACTACCCGTATGCGGATTCATATCCAGTAAAGAATATGCTGAGATACGATCGCCGTTGTTATCGATAGTTACATTACCGGTAATACCCTTGAAGCTGCGACCCCACATACGTCGTACCATATCGGTGCCATTTATAGGGCGTGTCAGCACTGTCGGATCCTCACGGATACTGTCATTGAGGGCTTTGGCATAGAGCAATACACCATCGAAGAAAGATATTACAAAGGATGAGACATCCTCATTTTCCTGGAATGTGTAATTGTATTTCTCCGTAGCGATGGTTTTGATCTAAAAAATAAAAAAGGAATTTTAGTTGCATATGTATTTTTCTGATGGGATTTAGCCAATCTACCTTATTTGAAACTGTAGTGTATGCTTCATCATCCGGCTGTTTTGGCGTTAAAGTCAGTATAGCTGTATATGCCTTTCGGGCGCGTTCATTATTTTCTTTTGTATCATTTTTGTCATACCAAGGCTTCCAAGCGATGTGTGAAGCGCTTTAATGTTAGAGTAGTATGAAAAAGTTTATTTTTAACTATAAAAATTAATCTCGTAATATTTATCACTATATTTTTCAGTCAAAATTGTTTTGACAAAAAATATTTGTATGCTCATTAATACTCTTAATATTTGATGACAATTATGTTATTGATTTATACTTATTTTATAACTTTTTTTTTAAGTTTTTAAAATATCGATATAAAAAATTGTGTCCATATACCCATAATCGATTATTTACCGTCATATATCGATATTCCATAAATTCCAAAAAATCTAAGTATAAACCTATATATTTTTTTAATCGATATTTTTTATGATATATCGTAAAAGGCTTTGATAATTTTTTTTACGGTCTTAAGTTGAACTTTTTCAGTTTTAGTCAATTATTGCCGGACTGAAGCTCGCAACAGAAATTTACTGGTTTAAGGTCAACCTTATTTGATGGCGGGTCTTATGCTCCGACAAACCCCCAAGCTATTAACCAATATTTTTGGCCTTAAGAGGTGAAAGTGATCCAACGAAAGTCATAAAAATATTAAGGTTTCGTTTCTTAGAAGACGAGATTTGAGCTACCTATCAAATTATATCAAGGTTTATTCTAAGGCAGACCACGTAATCAGTAATCAATTATCAACATTTCTGTGAAATGAAAAAATCATTCTCTAACAGTAATGCACCTGCTTAGAGTATTTTTATATACAAAGCATGGTTAAATTCAATTAGAATATTCTTGGAAAATAAACTTTGAAAAATGCTTATGCTAATATTCAAGACACGCTTTGAAATCTCATTTCAATGAAATTCACGGGAATTGTTCAGCTGATCAATACCACTTTTTTGGATTTTCGTCTAACATCATTGTATTTCAATCTACACAGGCACATTTCTTATTTTTACAATTTAATGTTGTTGTTACACGGGGATATTTTTAGACTGCTAGAAAATTTACCGGCATATTTATTGTTGTATATGGCGCTAAAAAGAGTCGAAATTAAGACCATGCTCGATTTATGAGCTTTTTATTGCCAAACATATATTTCATATACATATATATATTTAATGTATTATACATATATAAATTGTAAAGCCATTGATATTTTTACGGTAATAATTGTGAACTCAACTCTAATTGGCAAGAAAGCAAGAACTGTTTGTATTTGTATAGTGAAATTAGTTCAGACAAATGAGTCTAATGTTGCCAATGATGTAGTTTTTACTGATAATGTGTTTCAATGGTCAATAAGGCACCTGAGTCCATATAAACATAAATATTATGTTCGTTGAAGAGTAACGAATCGAACAAACTGTACCAGAGATTCAAACAAACTGGCAGCACTTGCGTTGAAACTCAACTCTAATGTGTCTTCTGACACAGGCGCGTTCGTGTTGTGATACGTTCCTTAGAGCAGAAATTTTCTTTCCGCGTGAAAAAAAACTTTCTGGAAATCTTTGGCTTTTGTTTTCTATAACCAAATAAAATGGATTATTTTTTTACAATAATTTGTATTTGAGGCATTCAAAATAGTAAAAGTGGTCTAAAATATATAAAACAAAGCTTGATAGAATTGAAGATATCGGTTATACTTAACTAATAAGAGCATAAAGCATGCCAGGTCTTAAGATCACACTTGATATTAATTGCATACATTGCCTTCAGTATCAAAAACGAACCTCCAGTGGAAAAAAATAATACCTCTAGCCAACAGTTAAAGTTAAGGTCAGAGGCTGATACCATCAAAGAGTTCATGAAGGTCTGCAATAAAATGTTCCAGTTGTTGGAACGACATAAACTACCTAGACCTAGTACCGGCGTTGGTTTAAAAACATTTTTGGTTTTTTGGTCCTCACTTGAACCAACTAAAAGTGGTATATATTTATATTTATATTTTAAATAGGGCAAATCGATTTCAACTCAATTTGTTTTATGCAAGTACATAAAGAATAATTTCTAAAATAGTAAGGAATAAATATTTTCTTATAATAAATTTTTTTAGTTATTATTCATTTGAGGTATTTTGACTTACTGCGAGAACATTTCAATATTAATAAACACATATTCGCCACTGTCGATCATATTCAATTCCTCAGCGGTCAGCATAATTCGGCGTATATTCTCGGGTTCCGCACACATAATGACAACTGAAATGAGCAATGACAAGCAAATCGATAAAATTAATATGATTGCTCGTTTCTTTCATTCTAAATATACAATAGTAGTGTACTATTGTGTTTATACACAAGCGACAATCGCCAACAAATTTAATAAAAATCAGCTTGAGAAGAAAGAATTCAAGAAATTATACGAAATACGTGAGATAGCTAAACAGTTATGAATTGCCTAATTTATATGCAAAAAACAGGTGTGTTTTATAAATAACGAGCTGACAAGCTCGTGTCTATTTCAGTATCGTAAACGTGCTTGAGTATTATTGAGTATATTACTCGGCTTTGAGTTCACTTGCACTAGCGAAGATTAGATTTTTCGTATTCTAATTGAAAATGTATATGTATTTAGTATTTTTATATGAATACAATTTCGGTATTAAATTTTATATGACATTACTTTTACAAATTGCCTTAATTATCGTTTAGCTTATATGGTAATCAAATACTTTTTTCGGAGTTGGTATTTTGAACAACTGTTACTTGATTTATGTTCACTTTAGTTTGCTATTTCATAATGAACAGAGTTACTCCGCAACAATTTTTGCAAATCGTGGAATCGCGCTTCGTCCAATATTCGGTCGATATAATCGTCCAGCATAATGGGTACTTCGAGAAAACGTGAATCGGTTTCGCATCATGTTTACTCTAGTGCATAATGCGCATCCTCACAGAGGCTGTACAGTGCGCACCGAAGACGCAATTGCTGCTGTGGATACCAGAGTATTGAAGAAAAACCGAATATGTCTATTCGCCATCACGCGCAACAATTGGAGCTGTGCCCATCCACTCTATGGAAGATCTTGCGGAAGGATGATGGTTTGGAGGCTGACCAAATTCAACTCATGCAAGAAGCGAAGCCAAATGAGAATCAAGCAAATGGCTCGTTTGGTGAATGGGCCCAAAACGACATGGCCACCGATCTCGATTTTGACCGAATTGTGTTGAACGTTGAAGCTCACTTTTGGTTGAATGAATACGTACGTGAGTGATTATAATTCACAAACCATTGTTGAAACGCCATTACATCCTCAAAATGTCATTGTTTGGTTCCAACAAGACGGCGCTACATGCCATACAGCCAACGAAACAATCAATTTATTGGAAGGAAACTTTGGTGAGCGCATTATCTCGCATCATGGGCCTGTGGCGCGGTCTTCAAGATCGTGCGATTTAAAACCGCAAGTGGTTGAAAAAAGCCAGCCGCGGCGGTCATTTGCCCGCAATCATTTTGAAACATAATGCCAAATTCTTATTTTTATAATAAAGCTAAATTATTCGCCACAACATTAAATTAGATGCGTTTTTTTTCTTCTTGAAAACCACAACACCCTTTATAATGTTTAAGTGTGATCAACTTAACGATGAAGTTAAAAGGTTCGTATTAAATCCTATAAAACGGAAATAAATAAGGCAATCCGTTTAATAAAAACTAAAGTACCGAAACATTTGCAAGAGGAAAGCTCCTAAGACTGAATATAAATTCCATATTTGATGTACGAGGGCAGTAGGGGCAGCAGTTCGACAACTAATTCAGTTATTTCTCCGTCAAATGGTTTTTTGCATAATTCACAAATGAGAGCAGTGTAAGCAAGTTTCGCCTTCACTAGGAATTCATTGTAGAGCACACTTTGTGAATTTCAGAGAGCAGTGCTCTTCCTCTTCTTCTTTGTTTGGTCACGGGTGTCTACCAGTGGATCCATGTTTCGTCAAAATTCACGGCATGATACAGAAATTTCTTCGGATTGCGCTTAAACAGCGTCTTAAATGCTCGTTTCGATCGTTATCGATTCATAAACACTCATCGACGGCCACGTTGAAATTAATCAAGCTTATTTTTAATGGTCAATATTGAAGGAGACGCAACTTTCAGCTTTACGAAATTAAAAAAAGAAAAAAAAACGTTAGCTTCGGTTGCACTAAAGCTATAACACCCTTCACATATGCAAATGTTACCACACAAATGATCCAACTTGATCGATATCTCAAAAACTGAGCCACTAAGTGAATAATCAATTTTACACACGAATTCTCGTTTTATTTCATTTCATTCAATATTTCGAGATCATCACCATGTAATAACCACAATGAAATGCATTTCCGTTGCGCATGTGTTAATTGCGCTTACTTCACACATTTATTGTTAATTTATTTGCATCTTTGCCTTTGTGCTGTGAATGCAAACATTGGCATTTTGTGAGATATCACGCCAACGACCGTGTGCTCAACACAGCGACCGTAGCGCCATAAAGTCTAGTTGTGGTCAATAAAACTACAACGTCACGTTTTAATGGTGTGCGTGTTTGCCCTCACGACTATCACTTTGGTAAACATAAATACGTATGTATGTATGTATTACATGTATACGAGTATAATATTTGTATTTGCACATATATGTACATATGTATATATGTTTGTTAGTTTTCGGACATCCTGCGAGTAAAACTATAATTTTCTACAAATATTGAAAAAAAAGTAAAATATATAATTTTAAGTACATGCCGAAATATCTATATATGCGCCTATATGAATGTTTGTGTAAGTGTGCTCTCATCACCACTCAATACCAAGCGGCTGCGTCAACAGCAAATTGGAAATAAGCGCCTCAGCTCAGCTGAAATACACGTGTATATACATACATATGTATTAATCTATCGTGCATGTTTGTACATATGTACGTTTATGCGCTGACATCCAAATACCCACAACGTTGCGAATAATTTATATGAGCGGAAGTGGTAATGCTAAATGCAATAATACTCAAACGAATGGCAGTGAGCGCAATAAAAATAATTAAATATACAATTTAATAAAAAATAATAGACTTGAAATTGTCAATAATTCAATTTGCCACAAAACCAACAACAACACTGATTTACAAATGTCCCTGTCTGCTCATTGTAGGCGCTGGCGTCTGTCTGTCTTACGTGACAGCTTCATTTGGTTGCCGGCATACATTTCTATGTGCATGTATGTTAATTGCGCTAACGGCATCTTCGTATGATATGTATAGCGTCTACCAATAGGGATGACGTGATTTTGACAGCTCGTGGCGGCCATGTTTGTTTACGGATTTGTGTCAAATTTTGTCTGTGTGTTCAGTAAGGTTTGCCATTTCATCACATTGCACTTTGGTACAACGCTTGAAAGTTGTCCAAGATTGTTTCGCAAATTTACGTTCTCCAGTGGCTACTGTAAACGCTCTTCGTGCATGGTTTTTTCAGATGAGGCCAATTTCTGGCTTAATGGCTTTGTCCTCGTGTGGTTCAGCAAACACAATTGCATCTCCAAAACTTCGGGCCTTATTAAATACTTTCGAAATGAGGCAGGAAATGCGGTTATCAGTAATAGCGAGCATTATAACACGATGTTGACTGACTTGGTTTCCCAGCATTCGATAAAATCGGCGCTAACGATCTATATTTCCAACCAGACGGTCGGCTGCCTCATGTTTCACGTCTAAACATAGATACGACGCGTGTAACGTTTGGCGACTCGTTAATTTCGAGAAATGGCCCAGTCAAATAGCCGTCAAAGATCATGCGATTTAACGCCTTTAGATTATTTTCCTTGGGGTATGTTAAATCAAAGGTTTACCTCAATCAACCTTTAAATGCTGCATTGGGTCATCGAAAATATGCAAACGGCGTAGTTGTGGCCATTTTGTCGACATTTTGTTTAAATCATAAATGGCATAAAATTAATTAATTATTTCATTTTAACACCATGCCGTTCATTTTGGTAGACCCTGTATATTTATAAAAATTAACAAAATCAACTAAACTGCATACACAAGTACATATGTATATACCCACTTACGTGTGTGACATGCAACAGTAGTAACTAATTGAGGTGTATTCAAAAACTAAGGGTAATTTTCGTTTTTTGAAAAAAAATTTTATTCTAAATTAATGCTGTTGCCTTCAAAATAGTACCCATTCGATATTATACACTTATGCAAACTCGAATTTTGTGCTTGTAAAACAAACGGTAAAAATCACATATCTGACTAATATGAATGCTGGGGCATTGTTACAGTATTATTTGTGGCAAAGAATTAACAACCAAATTCTTTGACCCATTTCTTTGAATACAGCTGAATATTGTATCGTTCTCTGCGCCATGCAGATCAATATAATTCAATTGACAATTAGAATCTTCAAACCCGCGAAATTTTGAAATTCCCGTTATTTTCTGAACACACTTCGTACATCCTGTGAACTTAGTCTCTCAGTACTTACTATGTAACGGTCTCTAATTCAATATTCCGAAGAGCTTCTTTGATACTTAACTTGAGGGCTTGAATCATTAGCAGTTATTGACATATTGATAATAAACGCCATAAAATCGTAACTCCGAGAAGATTAATCGACATTAATATAGAGGGGGTTTTTTTTAGACATGTGATTTTCAAGATGGCGGTCCGCAACAATTTCATACAAAAATTGTCCAATAATGCTACTGCCTACAAAATTGCACTAAATGTTAATGAAGCAGAAGTCCAGTTACTGCGTCTAGTCTTGTCTTGTAAGTAAATTTTACGATAAGAACAAAATTCGACATTGAATCGAGGTTCCAGGAAATCAATTCCAGCGATCCTAAATATCTTTTAAAAGGGTTAGGAGATTTCATAATATTGGAGTTAAATTTGCACGATGACCTATAAAAATACCTATAAAGACTCAGTTACATAATCGCTAAGGCGCTAATATCGACTTTGATTGTCGAAGGTGCGATTGTTAGTAATTCATGTTCATGTAATTTGAATGTATTGTACCAATTATCTCTTGCTAATTGATTTGAATTCACACAACAAATTAGTAACATAAACAAAGTACATAATTATGGGTACAATTACAAAAGGTTAGCTTGAACCAACAAATCTTAAGTAAATTTAATGATGCTTAAATAAAAAATTAAAAAAGTTTTCCATACAAAAATTTGATTTTGGTCGTTCAGGTTGTATGACAGCAACATGATATATTGGTCTGTTTAAAAAAATTGCTTCAGATATTGTGGCGTTACCTTGGTCAATAATCGCTTTTAAATTTTGTGAAGTTATCTCGTTAACTAAAAAAGTTTTTCATACAAGAAGATTATTTTGATCCTTCAATTTGCATAGCAGCTATATGCTATAGTAGCCCGTAATCCGCGGTTCCGCCAAATGAGCAGCTTCTTTGTGAGAAAACAACGTGTTCAAAAAATTGATATCAATATCTCAAAAACCTAGGGACTAGTTCACGATATAGTATGTATATACGATCATAGCTAAATCGACTCAGCTCGTCACGCTGATCATTTATATACATATATACTTTGTTGGATCGTCGACGTTTCCTTCTGGCTGTTACTAACTTCGTGACAAGCTTAATATACCCTGTTCAGGGTATAAAAAGCCTGTAGGAATAAGTGTTCTTCACAGCAATAATTATTTGTCAATATGTATCAGTATATGTTTTTATAAGAAAGTATTGTTACAGCGACATATATAATATTAGTTCTTAGAAATTAATTTATGGGGTATGAAAATAATAGTGGAAATTAATGCTTTTTATTGAACAACAAACAGGTACTAACACTGCACCTTTTGACCTACTGGCGCTCTTGACTTATGCATACATACATAGGTATGTATTTGCACCTAAATACAATACATAGCTTCGTGCACAAAATCGCATGTATTATTAAAAAAATAAATGATTACATGTGAATAACGCTTTAAACACAAACATATAATTTTATGGCCGATTTAATGCCGATATGTCTGGGCAACCTGTGCAATCAAAGTCATCGTTCATCAACCTTTCGACGGCTGCTATTATAAGTACTCGTACAATTAAATTGTGTTTATATAAGTAAATACATACACATATATTTAGAAAGACAAAACAAGTGTTTTAAGTAATATTCATAAACTCGTTCCAGTATTATTTGCAATTGTTGGTTAGAGTAGCCGCTTGTGCTTGGGTGTGTGGGATGCCAAATGATTGGGGGGTACCTAATTGCTGGATTAAATTATATATCAGAAAAATTTCGTCACTTGTATTTATTGAGAAACCTGCAAGGTATTAATGTTGTACAAACAGTTGCCATAAATGTGTGTATGTATATAAAAACTTGACAATATTTGCTATTAAGCGTGGCTTAAACCTATCAGCACTGCATATAAAGGTTCCCCATGAATATTAGGTATGTATGAATATGTATATTATTGAGAATGGAAATTCTTAATGAGTGGAAAATTGCAAAAAAAGTATAGCTTACTATTTGTAAACTTAATAATTACACAAGTAAACTCATAAATTGGGTGGGGTCAAAAATTATTAACTCCAAAGTTTTGAAAGAAACTCCAAAGTTACGCAAAACAAGAAAAAAACGTTAACTTCGACTGTACCAAAGCTATAATACCCACAGGTGCATTTTTTTTATAGCTTAAAATAGTATAAAGAAATATTTATTTTGATTTTGATCGTACACTTTGAATGGCAGCTATGTGCTATAGTGGTCCGATCTGTACAGTTTTTTCGCGATTTGAAGCAATGCCTTAAATAATAATTTATGCCAAATTAAAAAGTTTTCTATACAAGGACTTTGGTTTGATCGGTCAGTTTGTATGGCAGCTGTAGTGTTTCGATAACGGCGAATCCGACAAAAAAACAGCTTCTTGTGTTGAAAAAGACGTGTGCAAAATTTGAAATCGATATCTAAAAAGTGATGGACTATGGATCGCGTATATAGAGACGCACAGTCGGATGGACATGGCTAAATCGACTCAACTCGTTTGGTCAGTCCTGATTAGGAATTTCTCTTAAGTATCATATGGTACTTACGTACTGTTTGTTAAAAATATCCTTTTAACATATAAAGATGTAACCTTTTTTTTAATAAAGTAAACAAAATTCAGCGTTCGCGATTTTGCTTACATTTTAAAGCGAATAAATTCGTAACGATGCTGAAATGTCGTGACAGAAAACAAATAGTGAAGGACAACGATCGACACACTAAATGTTATTGAATATTTGATTATTATTCACGTAGCCTTATTGTGAGAATAACATAAACGTTTTTGAAGTGGTAATAAGAAATGAAGCACAAAGTGGTGTGATACATAAGCAAGGGTGGTACTTAAACGAGTGATACTTAAAATATTTGTACTTAATCTGGATTGACTGTATATACTTTTTATCGTCTCCGACGTTTCTTTTTGGGTGTTACAAATTTTGTGGGAAACTTAATATACCCTGTTCAGCATTAACATTTGCGGCTCATTGGATCTGCCTTATATAGGATAATACTAAATAAAAAGTACACACAATATAAATGGATGGGAAGTAGGGTAGGATTTTTGTATAAACATAGTGCGCTTGGTATTATCATACATGGGTAATATTGAGTTATAGATAATTTGTATTTAAAAGTTAATGGTGAGTTGGATCTGTCATAAGAGGTCTCGCTGATTGTCCCCAAGAAAGTCAATTAGGAAAAGTCTAGCGCGATCATAAGAGTTTTGGCGTTACCGCTGCGTTAATTATCGACTGATATGACCTATTCAAAGCATTATATGTATTTATATCACCTGTGACCATAATGAGTTAATAACTAACCTCTTTTAAAAAGTTCCATTCTCCATTCCAAATATAGGGAAGACTTAGATTTTATAAGTCTGTACCTATAGTATACAATTTTAATAAGTATCACAATGTCAACAGATTATCAGGTTTTCCTCACACGTTCTTCTAACCTTACTTGCTATAAATCTGGTTATATTTAAGTTACTTAAATCTTACTATCAGGATTTACCTAGAAAATATTGTGGTCCAACATTTTTTTTTGTTTCATAATTAATATTAATATCTTTCTATATTCCGATTGAAACTGAAAATTCGAAAAAAGCACCTAGGATATTATTATTAAAAGCTGTTTACAATTGCTGACGAGTTATTTGCTTAAATGATCACTTTTTTTCTGAAATAAAGGTATTGTACGACATTTAAAAATCATGGTTTACTAAAAAAATTAGACGTCAGTCAGTAGATCCAGAAATTGTGTAATGTAACTAAATTATATTTTGGGAAATGCATTCATTCTTTGCCATTATTGGTATGCGATATAAAATTAAAATCCAAACTGTGTACTTACTTCGCACCTCCTTGGATAGTTTCTTCATCATATTCGTAATCTTTGTACCATTCCATGTATTCCTATCGAATCCCTGCTGCATAACCGAACGGGCACCTAGCTTATCATGTATCACATACGAGCAGAAGAAACAAACCGAATAACCCTTATCATCAATATTATCCGATTCATATATCAATGCTGTACGTGTCCAATTGAATTCATTGATGATCGCGAACACTGCATTGCCCAAATTGTTACCTTGTGTACCATGTAAACGCGTCAAGGTGGGAAAATTACCAGCCTTCTTACCAAATGCCGAAGCACTGCCGCCCGTCGTTACAACGGGTATACTATAAGCGCCAGCATAGCGTGAGATTGGCGCCAAAACATATTCACACGGCAGGCCGAAGATGGCATTCAAATTTGGCTGTTGCAATAGCACTTCATAAAAACCGATTGGTCCATAGATTGAAGAGCAAAAGGAGTCACGTGCTATGAGCGTAAGATCAATGTAGGCTTCGTGAAAACCATATCTCTGCACCGCATCAATACCGAGCTCGAGTGCGGGCAACATTTTCGCCATGAAGCAATCATTATTTGTATCCGGTTCGGTAGTTGGCAGCATAGCCAACAGTATAATGTGATATTCGGCATAACTGGGTGTATCATTTCGTCGTGGCGCTATAAAAGTTTGCACCGATTCACTCTTCACACCCTTTCGTACGAAGGGAAATGTTTGACTGGGTATGCGGGTGGGTATTAACACGGATTCGGTTTGGTTGTTGTTGGTGGTGGTGTTGGCTACTGCCACAGCGCTGACAATCAAAAATAATAGCGTTTGGGTGACTAGGGAGCACAGATGTCGCTGCATAATACTGCCATCAATTCCCATAGTGCTGTGGTATCGCTTGCGTGGATTAAAGCATTTTACCGCTATTAAGCGGATATTGCGGCGGTTTCTTTTATATTGATATTCACCGTTAATTGTTAGAGAAGTCTATCTTTTCACTAAATAAATTATGTTTATACTACTAAGTCATTTTCGCACTGTTGGATTTAGGCAATTTTAGTTGTATGTAAAATATTATAACCTTAATTTTGGTTCAAAGTGGCTTTTAAAGGTTAACACATTTAACATAATTGATGACATATTGTTTATAAAAGTTTATTTTTATTTTTAATGCATTATTTTAGCAATTTCTTCTTCTATTTTTTTATCAATTTATTTTTCGATCAATTATTATTTTTTATATACTTTTTATTTCACTACTTAAATTAAGTTTAGTTTTTAATCCCTTTTCATATTTTTATTATCAGTTAGTGTTGTTGCTGTACACACATATATCTGCATTTAAAAATTATAGCAAAATGATTATAATTTCGCATTTTTCCAATACCTTTTTTGCATTCATTAAATTATTGATTTATGTACATATGTAAATTATTTGCTTGTTTAAAGTTCGTTTATTCATAGCCATACACATAAATTAACAAATTTAATGTGTCTATCAGTAGTTTTATGCATATTTTTTCAATTTTTATACTTTGTTATATTATTGCACATTTTTTGTTTTATCGGAAAAAAGTATATCGCGTTTATCATATTTGTTCTTTTAAATATTTTCGCATAAATCGTTTGAGTTTATCGAGGGAGTGCTAGATATGCATATATCACATTAACTATCTGGTACCTGTGACTTTAATGGCTTATCAATAAAATAATTATACCCTGATTGAAAAGCTTTCTCATTTCGGGAAATAATTAAGTTTTTTATTTCTTATCAGTTGGCTAAGTTTCTTACGTATTTTTGCAGTAATAATTCTTATATACCACAATATTTGTACCGAAACTGCATGTTTTTAAAGTAAATTATTTGTATATGGTAAATGTGGCAACTTCGTTTCCAAACACACTTATACTCAAGCCATTGACAACATTTAAAGCTTTAGTTTCTATAATCCAGTCCCAACTTTTAAATTATTATTTAAAAAAAAAAGTGGCAACATGTGAATTCTATTTTAACGGTACTTTCTTGAACATTCCAAGTTTAATACCCAATTCTTTTATTTTCACCACAAATGTTATAAGTTTGGAAACTCTCCTACTACTAATAATCAGAATCAAACACTTGAAAAGTGAAAATCATGCCAGAACTACTGTTTCTTATAGGATAGTTTACAAATTTTCATCGTTTCTCTCTTATTCTCGAAACTGGTATTGCTCCCATAATCAGAGCCGTCCAAATAAACCTATGAATATACTATATTCCCAATCAATTTCGTATATGATGATTCGTGTAGAATTCTCTGATTCGAATATTTAATAAGTAAAGAAATTCTAAGTCGGGTGTAACCGAAAATTGTATACTCTTGCAAAAATTTAAGCCGAGAAAATACTTTCATACTTTCTTAATTTTGCAATATCTTAGCATACATATTGACCGATATATACGGTATAAAACCAACCGAAATTTTAAAATTCTTATATAATTCTTATCAATTTTCTTATATAAGGTATATAGGGACTAGGGAATATTTTGACTCGTTTTTTATCCAGTTTTGGTATTACGACAGAAATAGATGCTCTTTGAATTTCATTAAGAAACCTCACAGATTGACTAACACAAGTATATAAGGTATAAAATTACGCAGATGTTTGATAATCTGTATATAAAGTATATGAGTACTAGGGGAAGTATTACCCTGATTTCATTCGTTTCAGGCAAGAGAATACACTGTTAGTAGAAATATATTCTTTCCGAGTTTCATTAAGATTTCTTACATATTGACAGATAGATGCGGTGTGAAGTCAACCCGTAGTTCGAAAACGGGCACAAGTATTGGCACGGGGGGTATTGGTTATCACAAAAATATTCTTCCATATTTTGTGTGTGGGTCCTTGAATGTTTTATTCTGATAACTTTTGATGTTTGATTTGTAAAGCGAAAGAATCAAATGAAATATAAAAGTTTATTTGCACTTTTAGTAGGTTTCAACATAACTCCATATCTACCATATCATACAAACAACCGTTAGGTGAACAAAACTATTATAGTATAAAAAAAAAATAAAAACAATGGAGTAAATAACTCGAACTGAAAGTTATTCATAAAGTGACTGGAATATGCACCTTTTCACTTAAAAATATATCTAGTATAGTATATATCATATAAGTATATACATGCATTTAAATTATATTTAATACCAATATTACGAGTTTATCGCTTGCCTAACCTTTTATGTGTGGAATGCAAATGCAAAATGTATAAAAGAATGAAGAAGAAATTTGTTGATTAACAAAACCCTTCTCTGCATTCTGTTTGGCCTTCAACTTTGTCGGAGTCGATAAAAAAAAGTACATAGCACGCTTGTGTAGATGGGTTTACATTGTTTTTGGGCAAGTGATTTATAAGGAGATCTAAAGTCTTAATAGCCTTTTTGTCAAATGGCTGGCCACTTAGTCGAAACATGCTGTAGCTACATACCCTGTAGGGAAGTGCTCTCCGTTGAATTAAAATATAACTTTAATGCATAGTTTGTTTTGTTTTGTTCAAAGAAAATCTTATAACAACCAGTTGGAGTAGATAAAACAGTTGAGAGAAGACAGCGACAAATTTATAGTGACAGACATCTTATTGCTGAATAATAGGCTTAGAGATGAGTTAAGAAGATTATGGCAAATTTATGTTTGAGGGTCGAAAGAATCCGAAGTAAAAGGAGCTTACTATGTCGTAGCAGTATCAATATCCATTGTTAAATTTTCGGATCACTCTAAGAAACATTTAGTTATGCAGTCATTATTAAATTTTCGAATCACTCTAAGAAACATTTAGCTATGCAGTCTAGATTCGACCTCGATGAAACAAATATTTTATTTAAAATTAAAAGCGAAACCTTCAGATGAGATGTGCAACTCTGTAAATGAGGTTATGTTAGTCGTTCCAATTTGGTGCAGTAGGAGTCATTATATAAATTTTACCAAATATATTACAAATTTTCAAGTTTTATTACTGTATAAAGTAATTTATAGCAAACAAGACCTCATTGAACAACCTCTTCAATATTTGAAAACTTGTTCGAAATAATTTTAAAAATCAACGAGCAGCAGTTCGATTTCCTATATGGTATGTAAGGAAAAGATATTCCATATAAATACTTCTGAGCTTCTATTTACATACACACAACTACAAGTTATAAAAAGTTTTTTTTTTTGTGTATTTACCACAACGATGTACACTTGCCAGCCGTCGGTGGTACTTGGAATTTTTTCTCTTTCACTTTAGGATGCCAAATTTTGGCAACTTTACTGAAACTTGTTTGGGGCTCTTCTGATTTTGTTAGACTTCCTTTTATACAGCTGTACGCATATAGTATGTATGTATATGTATATGAAAACAAATGCCTAAAAATAGAACTTTGCACTCAAATATTCAATAATTTCGTTATTTATTTTCTTATTTAAAACTTTTCGCTTGTCTCGTCTAATTTTATTTGTAAATAAAAAATTGAAAGTGTTCTTCACACGATCATGGGTATGTGTATATCAGTATGTTTGTATGCTAAAAACAATAACAGTAATTTTCACTTTGCTATTTATTTCAAGAATTTGCACCTTAAATAAATTTGTATATTAAAATATTTTGTAAGTCTATATGTACAATATAACGCTAAATTCAAATTTATTTATTTTTTTCAGAAATATTTATATGCAAAAAAAATTTATTTCAAAATAAGAAAAAACGTTAACGTCTTGGACAATAACCCATGCCATTTCATGACGACTTCTCGTCAAAAGCAAAAGTTTTCATACAAGCAGCTGATTCTGATCGTCCATTTGTGAGTTAGTTATATGCTATAATTGTCCGATATCAGCGATTCCGACAAATAAGCAGATTCTTGGGAAGAAAATGAAGTTTAAGATCGATATCTCAAAAACTAAGAGACTAGTTCGTGTATATGTAGACAGATGGGGATGTCTAAACCAGCTCAACTTATCCCGCTGATCATATATATGTATGTACACATGTGCATATACATTTATGGGGTCTCTGATATTTATTTCTGGGTGTTATAAACTTCGTGGCAAAATTAATATACGCTGTTCAGGGTATAAATAAAAAGCAGTAAGAGAAAAACTCGCTAGTTGGCGCTGTTTGAAAAATATCTGAAAGAAATCTGACTGAATTGTGAATATGTATATTTTTTAATAAGTATTCAGTTTAGCAAATAGAAGTACTCGCCTTATTTCGTTGCGAATTACATATACTTAAAGAAGAAATTATTTTTATTTTTTTTATTTACTCAAGTATTCTTAAGTTCAGATGCTCCACGCTAATAAAATTTTCTGTGCTGAGCTCTTTTAAGTTAATCATCAATTTGTTATCAACCAACCTTAACGCAGCTGCGCTTAGTTTAGATTGCGCTTTATTATTAAATACTTATATTATTTCATTCTCGCTGATATATTATGAAAATACGTAATTCTTTCCCACAAAAGTGGAGCGCAGTTGTGCATGGTATTTAGTTGCTAGAAATTACATGTAACATTTAGATTTCTCGCAGCCAAAAAATGACAGAAAAAATGTTTGCTAGCGGCTTGTTTTTGAATTCATAACGACATAGGCGTAAGTGTCGATATTTTACTGATTTACATCTATTAAAAGTCGAAAAAATGTCATATATTCGACTCTTCATTTCGAATCTAATATCACATAGTTTTATAATTTTTTGCAATTATATTCCCACAAATATGAATTAATTTTTTCCAAATCGGTCTATAAATACGATTTTTCGTGGTTTTTTTTTCATTTCGGCGCCATCTAGCGGGTGTGATATTTGCAGAACTCTCAATGATATGACATTATCTAGTATCACACAATTATGTGCTTATTAATATGCATATGTATATTATGAAAATGAGAAAAGCGCACCATAAATAATTGATTTAACGGCCATATAGCGGGCTTTCAATTCACAAGAACACTATGAACGTTTCCATAACGCCGTCTTTCATTTCAGTGAAATGGGCTTAGTGCTTTCGTTGTCATTTAGGTGCACGCATGCAAATTATTACTTTCTGATAATGTCAGTTTAATTTCTGATAAAAACAATTTGTCATACAAATTTCTTTGCAAATAATGTGCAGAGCAAATCTTGATTGATAGATCCTGAAGCGCTTGTGGGCTTACACGAATGCACATATGTATAATATGTGATATTAAAAACAACACGAGCGCATACACTCATAGTCATATATGTATGTAAATCATATAAATTAAAACGTTATGTAGGGAAATGTCATTGCGACAATGAATCGGCCAGACAATATTGAACGTCAAAGGTCTA